CCATCAATATAGTGTGTGTACATATGTTTGCAGGTGCGTAGGTAGATTACGTGAGGGCCACTCACGTGATTAGAGTTGAGGATTGCCATACTGCTGTACATGCTGTTGTACATTCCCTGTGCGGTTGTACAGTGCTGACGCTTGGGCGCATTGCAGCCATTGTTATGCATTGCTGACATTGCGGTACATTTTGGATGATGTTGCGCGTTGCTGCTGCGTGCGGTAGGCTTGGCTCCTCTCTCCAAACAACCACATTTATTAATTCCAATAACTGTACATTTATTGATTATTGTTGAATGAATTATCATTGTTCCTTGAGGTTACCGACATTCTGTTTCAGGTGGCTTTATTACAGGTTTATTGTGCAAATTAACAAGGTATTTAACAGTCATGGACAATCGGTGGTAGATTTCCACCCAACGGACCTGCACCCTCAGCCTTGAAGGTCGCTCTGAGTGATCTGTCGTCTAGGGAAGAGCCTTGGCCTGAGAAGATTGTCTTCATTCTAATGGGTGGCAGACTTATCTTACGACTTTTCGCACGGAACCTCACTGCAAAAGGTCAATTATTACGCTACAATTTAATTGGTTCTGAATTTCAGACCGTCTGCGAGCGTCATTCAAAAGAGCAATTTTCGTTTTATTAAGCAGCTGTTCATATAGAAGTCATAATTGGCTTGGAATTTCAGACCGTTTGGCACTGTTTGCCACACTCAAGAGCAACTTCTTGCCGAAAGAATGCTGCATTTCTAGTACACGTTACTTAGCAATACATTTAGCCGGCCTCAGGTCTACACGCTATTTGCTTACACCACAACGGAACCGTCGGCACAAGCAGAAAAAGTAATGCTCATGCAGGTCACAAAAACTGAGAAATCGTGTGATTCTCTTGAACATGCGGCATCCCGAAGTCAAATAATTGCAATCAAGCTCATGTCACCCACGACGCAACGATCAACTACGATTCCACAACAAAGACAGTCACGTGACTAATTTAACAATAATGGAAAGTGTTGGTTGGTTCTGCTGGAGCCACTATCAGCGCGCATTCCCGTGATACGATCTTAAATGTACTTGCAGTATTCAAATTCACGAATAATTTGTGTCTTCACGGCAGACACGGGTCATGTGTCATCATGTTTAAATGTATACATCTAGAGAACTGCAAGGCTTACCAAGCAGCAGACGAGTAATGGAACTTTGTTCTTGTATTGAATTCCTCATTTGCTTGACTGCACATCGACGAAATAAGCATGAACTAAAAAAAAACACATTTCAAAAAAGCCCCATGCTCTGTTATGTAACACATATTGCCTTTTTTTTTAGTTCTTAAATACGAGTTTATGCAACAGTTCGTCACCGACACCACGAAGTAACACCCATCTACATACCAGTAAAAACTAGCGTCAAAACGACAGAGTATTTTCAGTGGGGTGTTTCGTTGTGGACACTTGATGAATTGAATTGATTAAATCTGCTGTTTTTCACTCGTTTGTGTTTTAAATAAACAAGAAATAGGAAAAAAAAGATGAGTGTTAGTTCGTGAAACCGAAAAAGCTGAAAAACTGTGAATTTTCGTTTTCACGAAGTAACACTCCTCAATGTATTTAACACGAGGAAAGTGCAACTTCAGGTCAGCGCGCGAGCGCTCATACAACTTGTTACAAGAAGAGTGTTACTTCGTGAAAACGTTTTTGCTCACTTATGAGCAGAGTGCGCGCCATGCATTGCAATGGAAAAAGGAACTTGAGTGTTACTTTGTGAAAACGAAAATTGTCACTTTTGCACAAAAGTTGCCATGGATACTTAGCGTAATTATTAAAGTAAAGCTCTTGAAGCTTTGAAACTTCGTGCAATGGTAGGCCTTGATAAATAATGTTTTCAAAATCCAAAAAAAAACTAAAAATCGAAAAAAAATATGCTTTAATACGGTAGAGTGTTACTTCGTGGTGTCGGTGACGAGTTGAGGACCATGTGCTCTGTTGGCCATTGCTTAATTATCGTTTGGCTCTTTGGGGAGTACCAGCATCAGGTACATTTCAAGTAATCCGGCTATGGTTCTACTAGTATACAAAATAAATGAATGTTTATGAGTGCGATGGTGAAAATATTTTCATGAGTTGAAAGCCGAGTTGAATGGAACATTCTATCTTTCAACGAATGAAAATATTCTCACCATTGCACGAATGTGAAACATTCATTATTTGTTTTATATAACATCCAAGTAGATCTTTGATTGGAGGATAAAACTTTAAGAACAAACAAAACGCAGAAAATTGCATCATAATCCACTACCTTTTTCAGCATGTTCAAGTTTAGCAAAGGTTTAGCGCCGGGGAGTTTGCGCGTCGTAGCGTGCGCGCGGCGTGCAATAGATCAAAAGGGAAGAGACGAAAATACATGGTGAATGAAGCCAAAAATGCACGGTTGTGACGTACGCCTTGTAATTGTTTGATTAGTGAATGCCGTGTGACCTACAATCCTCGTATCAAATGACAAGGATTTACTTGGATGTTATTTAACAGTTTTAAATTATTCAGTAGTTGGTAATTCAAGACATACTCATTCGGAGACCTCATTTTGAAGGTAGAAAGTATTGGGCGGAACCTCGAACGTGCGCACTCTTACGCTCGCACCTATTTCTCCTTCGACCAATCCGTGACTGGTGACTTCATTGCAACTGAAACCAAGCCCACGCCTCACGGAGTAGCATTGGAACCGGAAGTAGTGGACGCAGTGGCGCGTGCGCGTGCGTGACGTAGTCACGGACCGGATAGGGTTACCAAGATTTGCGCGCGCCTACAACACACCTGTGAATTGCGCAGAAGGGATTCCAGAGGAAAATGTCATATAAACAATAAGTGGGATTACAATGCAAATGGTGGTTAATGTGTTGGCCATTAATCCAACAGTTGGAATTTCAAGTCACGCAGGGTAAAAGCATGTCGGACAACCAATTCAGTCATAATAGCCTATAACACAAGGTTAAAGGGAAAATACAACATATGCAAACATCGAAGAAAAAAAACTACCAAGTTTTTACGAAATACTTTACTAGGATGTTGGTAAATGACAGTATAAAGCATCCTGTAAAATTATGGCACCTGGTGTGAAGTCATTTTCGAGAAAATAGTATTTTTGTATACATTTCCAACGGTGGTCGGCCGACCACCGTTGGAAAAACCTAACTTTTTTCAACTGCTGATCCAAATTTACCATTATTTTCAATCCAAATTTAGTTTGCTATTGGTTACATGTTCATGAACGGGTGCAGGCAGGCTAGACAGGTTCCCTTACCTTACAATTTTCCGGCATCCATAAATATTGATCTATTTCATCTTTAGTGGAGTCAGGGAACCAGACTGCTTGAACATTTTTGTTTTTCTTGGTTTTTCCGGCATTTTCGAACATGTTAGTGTAACAATATTTGATCTATTATACTAACCCCTCAAAAAGTTCATTTCTGAAAATTACAACAAAAGCCAATGATGTACATTCCCTTTAATAAATGCTTAAAGGTAATCGATTTAAATCGACAACTTTCCTTACGAAACGGTTATAAATTGATACACAAGGTTTGTCTTTGTAGGGTGTTTGTATTTATTTGTGATTTTTTTCCTTACTTTTTTTCAACAAATTTGAAAGTGCCAAAGGTATATAATACATGTACATTTTACCAACTGACTTCTTAATATTGATAACATTGATATTTACATATAAATTATCTGGAATAGATCGATTACACTGCAGCCATCGTTGGTGCCCCCGATCCGAGTGCCCGGTCTGTGCTGTTGATTTACCGACCTCACTGATTAGTGCGGCAATTAAAAAAGTCATGTGTTTAACATACTATAGATCTTCCCTGCAATTTTAAAACATTTATATTTTAAATTCACCGATTCTAATACTCAAATTCGTCCAGCAACATCGATTTAGTGCACTTTCAATAATTACTTTTGTCTTTTTTTGTCAACAACAGTTTCAAATTTAGTACATGAGTCATCCTGGATTATACAATTTCGATTCGTCAACGAGAAACTTTATTATTCACAATAACAAATTCGTCTCATGGAACACAATTGAATTTTAATTTGGTTAAATTTTAAAGAGAACTGACTTGGTGAATTATTTCTAACAATTGAAAGTGGAATAAAGAAATTGTCACGAGCGGAACTTGGACCTGCGACCTCTGGATAACCGTTCCCTGCTCTTACAAACTGGGCTATCAAGCTATGTTTGCGGTTTTCCAATTAGTCAATATATTTGTTCAAATGGCTCTAGCCGGAAGTCATCAACCCGTGTATGCCATGCGGGCAGGGATCACGCCCAAAGTCACGGTACAGACCCTGGAAATAGCAAACGGGAATCACTCAGAAAGGATGCAGCTTTGTATTACAAATGAACATTGAAATGAACCACACACGGAAACTGACTAGGTGAATGATGACAATTGAACAAAGAAATGAATAAAGATTTTGACAAATATCAATGTTTTTTGTTCAGCGTTGCAGTTTAGATTTTGTCTTATTTCATTGTGATTTGGTTTTTTGGGGGCGGACAAAAATTGAACATATTCGAGTTGGAGAATTTGAATGATAAACGTTTGAAATGAACGGGAAAAAATGGTTGTATTGCTGGTACGCTAATGACGTGGCATATTGACGCACATAGCTTGCTTGTGGGTAGGCGAATGGCTACTATGAGCTGACTGTGTTCAAAAGGGCATGTGTACACCTGTTGTGTATTCATTTTTCATGAATTATTATATTGAGATCACCTCCAGGATGGCTGCTAAATACAATCGATCTATATAGTAGGTAACTTACCTCGGCTTTAGTTGGCCGGGAGAAATGTTAAGAAGAAAAACAAAATTGTGAACAAATGTTGTGGAGAATTGATTGAAAAGTTTCACTCGTCCCACTACCTTTTCCATGAGCGCCCGTGACACTAATCTCTTTCACGAAGCCCTGGCAGGGAAACTCAATAGTTGTGGTTGTATCACGTTCATTGTCCATAAACAATATACGTACGTTTCTTCCTCACGGGTCTTGTGAAAGCGGAAGTGAAGACCAGGGGTAACTGGCAGTCTACAAAATGTATCCAATAAGAGTGCGAAGGGAATGGAGGAGTTCACAACCGCCTTTAGATAGGGCGCAATAATCTCTTACTTCCGGTTAGAGATCACGTGATGTTCAAGACAAACAAAAACTGTAGGACAATGTAAAACAATCACAGGTCCTTGGTGAACAATAGGAATATTTTAAAGTGCTCGAATTAAACAAACTATTGGCTATAAAGAATTCAATTCTCGCATACAATGACGAAAATAATAATCGCCAATGTTTGCAAATCGTTAATCAGGCGGGCACAGTTTTGCACAGTCAATCACAAAATCCAAATTCTGTGTTTAGAAAGAACAAAGAAAGAAATGCTCCATTGATGAACCTTGGACTCCATCTCGCTATAGAGATACCCCTTCGGGTACAGTTTGTGCTTGGATGTTAAATTATGTCCAGAGATGTAGTGATGCATACGCAGGACCAGCCTGTACTGCCCTCGGCCTGAATCACTGACTTGCTGACTGACACAGTCACCGAGTCATTGAGTTTAAAGTTATGTCGCCAAAGCTAAATCCAGCATGACTAGCCAAGCATATTCCCATTCATTATAATCTCTGAGGGGAAGTTTACACTTGCAGACGGCCATCTGAGCCAAAAGTGTAGCAAGACACAGGAGCAGCCGATGATGAGGGGATGATGACGCCTTCACCCTTCCCTTGGGTGCTAGTGGTTTCGCATACAGTGTAAACTTTATCTGAATAGCACTTGGAGTCAGACCATTTGCCATTTTCCATGTAAAAACTCATACAGTCATCGTCACCTCCACGGTTGTTCGGCTCCTTAGTTGACCAGTTTTCGAACGGCAGACTGCTGGCAGAATCTTTGTAGCACAGCCACTGGCCCTCGCTGTCTCTATCACTGCATCCCAGCCAAGTGAATCTCTTGTTTTGATTCTTCACTATCCCTTGGATGAATTTATTCTCCTCCCATGTCTCTATCACCAAGAGCTCCCCGCCGAGTCGGTCGCAGTACGCGGCTCCATCATCCCAGTTTCGTATCACGCTATCAGTCATGTAACACGACGTCCCGTGCTCAAACCAGTCCCTGGGACAAAGACCGCTAACGCCTACAACAAACAAGATAAATGCAGCAGTATTCAAGATTTTTAAGTAAACTTTACAAGCCATTTTGATGGTACGTTATTCAACTGCTGATTTTGTATTCGTCGGTGTTACCGAGGGATTCAAGTTCTTGATGAAACCCAATAGTGCTTGGTCCCGAGCCAGTTAGGTTGTAACAAAGTGTTCAGCAAGCGGTTACTTATGTCACTAGCGTGCCCTCGGTCAACGCTCAAGACTGCAAAGACAGTTTGATTTGAACGTACGTTCGTGTACAACACATTACTGATTATTATGCTCAATGAGTGGGCGTCGTGTTTGGCAATACTGCAAGCGAAATAAGTAATTAAGATAGCAATCGCGCTGTCACGCACACATATTGTTGGCACTGAATTTCAGACAATTGCCACCATCATTCAAAAGAGCAATTTCCGTTCTATTCAACAGCTGTTTGAGTATACTTTAACCCTCCGACGCAGAAACTAGCCCTTTTGGGGACCCAATTTGGTTAATTACCTTAATAAAAAAAAAAAATTCCAACCAATTCTGGTGATCTTCCATCTAATCCTAGCCAGAGACACCCACTACGGATATATGCAGTCACCTTTAGTGTGTGACCCCTGGTCAGGCATATCTGAGCCTGACAACCTGGGCTGCCCATATACACGTGCACAAAACAAAGTCACTTGCGGGTAGCAAAGTGCACGACTTGACCACAGACTATGTATACAACATCTGTTTCCTGTCAATGACCTCCTTATTTATAGTCTACAGACATGTCGAGATTGTATACATATAGATACTGTGTTGTGTAGCCTCAAACCAAGGCGCTAAATATCTGGGTCCCCGGAGGGACCCCTTACTGTAAGCGTGTTAGTAAATGTGCTTTCTGCGTCGGAGGGTTAATTAATTGGCAATTAATTTCAGACCGTAAGTCACTATCAGACTCAGGAGCAATTTCTGGTCGATTGAACAGCATTTCAAGTACACGTTAATTAGCATTCATAAAAACCCAAGACAGTTTATCGATCCCTATTGGGCGCGAGCCCGTCGCGTGGGTGGTTTCAAACCACCGGTTAATCACCGCTGCGTTCTGCGCCACACGCGCAGAAGGCGCCGCGAACGTGCCAATTTCATTACAAAGAGAGTTTTAGTGCCAAAGCGCACAAGGCACATACCACAAATATGGCAATAGGGGTGTTTCACGAAACCTGAAGTAAAATTGTTAACAATTTGTAATAAAAAAAATGACCGAAAGGTATTTATGAATGGCTATAAAATGTTTTCTTGGCTGGTATTAAACTTGTACGTTTAAAACAGGCTATATAGGGGCCCGGTCGCCGATATTGATCCGATATTGGCGTCTAGGCCCCCAGCACGCACATATTCTCATTCGACCAATCCGGTTCGGAAGTGTTACTTCATTTCAACTTAAACCACGCCCACTCTTCACGGAGTAGCATTGGTACCATTGGAACCGGAAGTAGTACCAGGTATCGCGTTTAGCCCATGCATGGGCGCTAGTAATCCGTGGCGCGTGAGCGTTTGTCACGTATCACGGACCGGATAGGGTTACCAAGAGCCGCTCACGCCTACAACACACGTGCCAAATGTACATGTACAGATGAGATTCAAGCTAAGTAAAGATGGCTTCTCAATGTAACTAGCTTTCTGAGAAAAGGGTCCTCTAAACAATGGGTGGGATTACAATGATGATGAATGTGTTAGCCATTAATCCAACTCTGAGCGAAGTTTCAAGTCACGCAGAGTGGTTGCATGTATCCAATTTAGTCATGGTTAACTACAACACAAGGTTAACAGCTGGTTCAAGGCACATCAGTTTAAATCGAGTACGTTCCTTTCACTCTAAAACAGAAGTGTCAAAACTTGCTAAGTAAATGTGTTGCGTACAAACGTTGAGTACTTTTTTTACCCAACGGGTTAAGTGACAATTTTGTCAGTACCCTTCAAAAGGGAAATGTGACCCTTTGATTGTGCAACCGACAAATTTCAAATGGTAAACAACGTAGTGTAAGAAGGCACATTTGACCTTGCAACGTACAACAAAACAGGCATATGGGCTCTCATATGGGTAAATGTTACCCCCTAATGTGTTAGCATTGCCAAATGTTGCCTAAAGCACGTTCTCTAAATCGACAGTAAAATTCAAGATGGCGGTTAGAGACTTCTTAAAGTATTTACTAGGACAATGATTAGGCACATTAAATGGAAATTCAAGGGTTATTAATTAGTGAATTTTGACATTTCAACATTTTGTTTCACATTTTTACTTTGTTTACTCTGTTTTTCCTTTTATTTTAATCTTTACACTTTTTTGGTAACTATTTGTTTTTAGTTCAGTATTCTAATTGTTCCAGTAAAATCAAGCGGGCGAATGTGCCAAATTGTTCTTCGGGACACAAGGAAGATGCTCAAGCACACACCTTACCAATGAACTCACATGACGAATTCGATCTCTAAAGGCTGCCATTTGGCAACAGCTTAGGTGAACGTGATCAGTAACGACGAATATTCTCCACCTGGTGTTTGAAAAACATGGTGAAACTTTCAAATTGAATGATCAATGACTACATTGGTTTTGGTAAAAGAGTGTGAATTCCTTTTTTGGGGGCGGGATGAAAAAAAAACACAGTAATAATCGTGAAACAAAATTTAAGGAGATTTCAAGGAATGTTTCGCTCGTCCCACCGACCTTTCCATGAACAGCCGTGACACTAACCCCTTTCACAAAGCTCTGTCAAGGATCGAAACGCAATCGTCGCAAAGCATTGTGAGTGTATCACTTTCACTTTTCATAAACAATGTACGTGCGTTTTCTCCTCACAGGTCGTGTGAAAATGGAAGTGAAGACCAGGGGCCATTGGCTGTATACAAAATGTATGGTGCGGAAAATATGGAGGAGCTCACCACCGCCATTTGAAAGGGTGGAATAATCTCAATGTCTGACATCTGGTTGGAGGTCACGTGATGCTCAAGTACAACAGTCTGTAAGGCAATGTAAAACATTCACAGGTCCGTGCTGAACAATAGGCTACTTAAAGGTGCTTGAATTAAAAGGCCAATGGCAATTAAGAATTCCATTCTACCACAAAATGAAAAAAAAAAAAAAATCGACAGTCTTTGTAAACCGCTAGTGTTACATTCTCTTATGCGTACACAGTTTGACTACTGTCAATCGTAAAATCCGAACCTCATGTTAAGAGAAACCGACGAAAAGTCAAATCGAAGAGCCTCGGAATTCATCTCGCCTTAGCGATACCCAATCCGTGCAGAGTTTGGTGCTTTGAAGTGACATTCTGTCCACCGTATATAGTGATGGACCTGCACCTCTAGCGTCACTGTCTTACCGAACTGTCGCCGAACCAGACTTTCGTCCAACTTGGCCATGCAAGCACTGTCCGGTTTAGTATATTCGTTAAGGCTAAAGGGAGATCTACACTCGCAGACGGCCATCTGAACCAAGAGTGTAGCAAGATATGGGAGTAGCCGACGATGAAGCGGTGACGACCTCGCCCTTCCTTTGAACACTGGTGGTTTCGCATACAGTGTAAACGAACTGTACATCGCAATTTGAGTCAGACCACTTGCCATCTTTGCTGTGAATAGCCAGACAGTGGTCGGTTCCATGAGCGTTGTTCGGTTGATCTGTTGCCCAGTTTTTGAGCGGCAAACCGCTCGCAGCATCTTTGTAGCACACCCACTGGCCCTCGGTAGATATATCACTGCATCCCAGCCAAGCCCACTCCTTGCTTTGATTTTTTAATAACCCGTGGATGAATTCATTCTCCTCCAATGTCTCTATCACTAAGAGTTCCCCGCCAAGTCCATCGCAGTAGGCGGCTCCATCATTCCAGGTTCGTGTAATGTTATCAGTCTTGTAACACCTCGTTCCGTGCTCAAACCAGTGCTGGGTACAAAGACCGCTTACGCCTACAACAAACAAGATAAAAACAGCAACATGCAAGATTCTGAAGTAAACTTTACCAGCCATTTCGATGGTACGGTTTTTAACTTTTTTGTTTGTTTGGTGTTACATACGGATTCAATTTCTTGATAAAACACAAAAGCGCTTTGTCCCGAACCAGTGAATTGTTTTTGGCAGAACGCGTTCCGAAAACGAATAACTTATATCACAAGCGTGCCCTCGGTCAAAGATGAAGACTGCAAAGATACGTTTATGTACAACACACCACTGATTATTAATGTCGCTCATAGGCGTCGTGTTTGGTACTGCACGTCAGCATTTGGTGCTACAAATTAAATGGATAGTTATAACAACTATTGTGCTGTCACGCACGGAACACAACCGCAAAAGGTCAATTATTACGCTGCAATTAATTTTAATTAGCACCGAATTTCAGACGTTCTGCCAGTGTCGTTCAAAAGACTAATATCAGGTCTATTAAACAGCTGTTCACGGAGACGTAATAATTGGCTATGAATTTCAAAGCGTTTGCCACTGTCACACTCATTAGCAATTTCTGGTCGATTAAACAGCATTTCAATTTCGTTCATTAGAAATGAATTATACACATCGTCTGTCGCCATCGTTCTCAAGAGCAATTTCCGTTTGATTAAACAGCAAGTTATCACTTATAAACACCCGATACGGTTTACCCATACCTTTTGGTAGTGGGCCCGACGAGTGAGTATTAAACCACTGGTAAACAACGCCACATCGCGCAATACGTGCAACGAGTGCGCCAATTTCTATAAGGCCCCAAAAAAAAAGTCTCCCGTTTCTGGTTTGGAGCTTGCCCAAAAAGTGGTGCGGCGACGCGGCTTTTTTTTTTTTTTTACCTGATCTTTTGCTTCAAATGTCGGCTGATGCCTGCAAATGGTGCCTGACTAAACTTAGTGCGAATATATGGGAGTCCAGAGAGGCCACATACAGCTTATTCTCGACCATAACCCAATCTAAAAACACGTTAAAATTGTGCAGCAGCAGGATTCCAGTTAAACCAGTGAGTTTGGCGGTTTTGAGACATCATCTTGCATTGAAATAAAAACTTTGTCATTTTACCGACGCGCATGGCTACGGCGACGCGCGTGCATACCAGAAACCGGAGACTTTTTTTTGTTTGGCCTAAAAAAGGAGATTTTTAACACTTCCCGCGCGAGGCACATACAACAGGTATGACCAGAGGAGTATTTCACGAAACCTAAAGTGAACGTGTTGAACAAAAATGTTGGACAATCGTGAATTAAAACTTGTTTTGACACTGAAAGGTATTTATGAATGGGAATAAATAATGTTCTTGGCCGGCATTAAATAAGTATGTTCATAACAGGATTATGGCCTGGTTACCGATAATACCCCTAGCCGGTTTATAACGTACTTGTTTAAAACATGCCAAGTACATCTTTAATTCCTTAATTGATTTGAAGACCGCCTGTCAATTTGTGTATAGCAGAGAAGTACATAATCATATGTAGGCCAGATCTAGGTACACTGAATAAGAGAAGCGAAATCGTCTCCAAGTGCAGGCATCGAGACAGATGTGTTCTTACTTCAGTGACGTAAACGCGTACTAACTTCAATGACGTAACGCGCGTAACGCGTGCGCGCGCTTGATTCGAAATAAGGTAAGATGCTACTTGTATTCTATTTTTCGTCATTCTGCTGATGAGTGCCTTATGGTACGAAACAGTCTGTTCAGAAGAGAGATATGCCAAAGTTTGTTTAACTCGTATTCTGAATTTATTGCATGATATATATATATATATATATATATATATATATATATATCCAATGAAATCGTCTTCTATCACAATTCACAGTGCTCGATACATCTCTGTAGAGCTATATACATGCAATAAATTCAGAATATGAGTTGAACAAACTCTGGCATATCTCTCTGAACAGACTGTTTCGTACCATAAGGCACTCATCAGCTGCTGATGAGTGCCTTATGGTACGAAACAGTCTGTTCAGAGAGATATGCCAGAGTTTGTTCAACTCATATTCTGAATTTATTTATTCTGAATATATTGCATATATGTATATATATATATATATATATATATATATATATATACATTTCTCACTACAAAGTCTCAGATCACTAACTACGGAATAGATTAAACAAAGCATACAATGTATGTAAAGGAAACTTTTAATACAATGGCAATTTCCACATTTATTCGAAACTTGGGTAACTGCGACGAATTGGATCGCCTTAGTGAAATAAAGTTAAAGCTATAGTCGATCATTTGCAGCCATCAGAAAAAGTAACTGGCGTATTATTGTTGAAAAACATACTTGGTTGAAAGATAGTAAGTGGACTAAACTCCCTGTGAAAGTAATCTTTTAGATTAAGATGTGTCTTAAGATGCGTCTTAAGACACACCGTAGGAAAATTTAAATTAGTAGTTCGTTTTGTTATTGGGCGCAGCGCGCGCAAGCATTGGTACGACGCACAGGAGTGCGCGGTTGCTATAATTCGTCGAATCATGTGCGCGACGTCGCGTATAGCTGCAATTCAAAACAATTCAAAACATGATTCAGCAACTTTTGACTTGAAATTGAATGCTGTTTTTCTCGGAATATACAGCTGAAGCTGAGCTGGAACTTCATAGGGTTAGTTGTTCAGTATTCTTCATTAGTTTTTGAACACTTTTTCTGCTTCAAACGAACAAAACGCACAAATTACAAATGATGGACCATATCTTTAACTATGCGGATTTGAAATCCATATAATCATGCCCAATCATAAAGCTATATTAAATTACTAGAGCGCTAACTCCTCATTCTGCTCGCGGAGACGCTTTGAAGCCGTCCTTGGCGCAGACATTTTGAATTCATGTGCGTGTTTGTAGAACTCAATCAAAATAGATGGATTTAATTTAAAATGTGTACTCTTAAATGCGACGCGCAAGTAGAACATACGCAAACAACTCAAGCGCGTCATTGACGGTTCAAAAAAACAAACGTGACGGCAAAAAGCATCTGCAGCGAATACGCGCACGCGTTGCGTTGATTGCGTATAGCAAAATGACACGCTCATTTGTTGATCGTGCGTTTCAGTTTTGGGCGTATTGGCTTCGGTGACGCAGATGTATGGAATACAAACGCTGATATGCAAATAGCCGTACAAAAGCCGTACAAAATTTCTAGGTCTACACAGGATTGTGCACAAATATGGATGCGCCCAGCAGGCATTACTTTGTACACGACATTAGCGCTCTAGTAATTTATTAAAGCTGTATGGGCCCAACTAAGTTTAATGGAACGAAATTACAAGGAATCAGGTTGGCGCATGCAGTGCCTTCCTTCGTTACGGCAAAAAGGTCGATTCCTACGTAGACCACAAGTGGATTGGGATTTCACTCTCCACTTAATTCCGTGGATTTTCCCCAGAATATTTGTCTTCCCTCCAACCTCTTCAACTGTCATTTCTTCTCACTGTCTTCTTTCTACAGGTGTCTTTTATGCTGTTAAGCTACAGGCAGCTGTTAATGAATCCGCTTCAAACTTTAGGGCTTTTGACGCAATCGTCTCAAAGCTTTGCGGATGTATCACTTTCACATTCCATAAACAATATTCGTACGTTTCTTCCTCACGGGTCGTGTGAAAACGGAAGTGAAGACCAGGGGTCACTGGCTGTATACAACATACATCCAATAAGAGTGCGAGGAAAATGGAGGAGCTCACCTCCGCTGTTGGAGAGGGTGGACTAATCTCAACGTCTGACTTCCTGTTAGAGGTCACGTGATGCTCGATGCCAAATACAACTGTAAGGCAATGTCAAACATTCACAGGTCCGTGCTGAACAATGGGCTACTTAAGGTGCTCGAATTAAAAGGCTAATGGCAATTAAGAATACCATTCTACCATAAATTAAAAGAAAACAAAAATTGGCAGTCTTTGTAAATCGCTTTTGTTACATTATCTAAGGCGTACACGGTTTGGCTATAGTCACTCGTAAAATCTGAACCTCACGTTTAGAGAAACCAACGAATAGTCCAATCGATGAGTCTCGGAATCCATCTTGCTCTAGCGATACCGGTTACCATTCGTGTAGAGTTGGTGCTTTGGTTTGTCCGCCTATGTAGTGATGGACCTGCACCTCTAGCGTCACTTGTCTTACCGACTGACTTGTGTCGAAGAAACAGACTTTTCCAACTTGGCTACGCAAGCATTGTCCCGTTTAATATAGTCGACAAAGGCCGGAGGGAGGTCTACATTCGCAGGCGGCCATCTGAGCCAAGAGAGTAGCAAGACGTGGGAGTAGCCGATGATGAAGCGATGACGACTTCGCCCTTCCCTTGGATGATAGTGGTTTCGCATACAGTGTAAACCATCTCTGCAAACCACTTACATCAGGCATCTCACCATTGCGAAAAGGTAGGCAGTGGTCGGTACCATGAGCGTTATTCGATTGTTGTGTTGCCCAGTTTATGAACGGCAGACCGTTGGCAGCCTCTTTGTAGCACACCCACTGGCCCTCGGTATATCTATCACTGCATCCTAGCCGGGCCCACTCCTTGCTTTGATTCTTCAGTAATCTGTGGATGAATTTATTCTCTTCCGAAGTCTCTATCACCAAGATTTCCCCGCTAAGTTGGTCGGAGTACGCGGCTCTATCATCCCAGGTTCTTTTCAAGTTATCAGTCTTGCAACACGACGTCCCGTGCGGAAACAAAGAAATAAAATAATCATCAGTGTTTGTAAATCGTTAATCAGGCCGGCAGAGTTTTGCCTAAAGTCAATCACAAATGTCAAAACTCTGTGTTTAGAGAAAACAAAGAAATGTCCAATCTCGCTATAGAGATAACCCTTCGCGTACAGTTGGTGCCTGGATGTGAAATTTTGTCCAGAGATGTAGTGATACTACGCAGAACCAACCTGTTCTGCCCTCGGCCTGAATCACTGACTTGGTGACTGACCCAGTCGCCGAGTCATTGAGTTTAAAGTTATGTCGCCGCAGCTTAATCCAACTTGATAGGCATGCATAGTCCCATTCATCAAAAGGGCTGAGGGGAAGTCTACACTCGTAGGCGGCCATTAGAACCAAAAGTGTAGCAAGACACAGGAGCTGCCGATGATGAAGGGGTGACGCCTTCGCCCTTTCCTTGGATGCTTATGGTTTCGCATACGGCGTAAACTATTCGTGCATCGCATTTCGAATCAGACCACTTGCCATCTACCATGTGAAAAGCCATACAGTCATCGGTACCCCCGCGGTTGTTCGGCTCATTGGGTGACCAGTTTCGGAACGTCACACCGCTGGCAGCTTCTTTATAGCACAGCCACTGGCCCTCGGTAGATCTATCACTGCATCCCAGCCAGGCCCACTCCTTGCTTTGATTCTTCAGTAACCCGTGGATGAATTCGTTCTCCTCAATTGTCTCTATCACTAACAGTTCCCCGCCAAGTCGGTCGCATTGTGCCGCCGCATCATCCCAGGTTCGTTTCACGTGATCAGTCTTGTAACATGACGTCCCGTGCTCAAACCAGTCCGGGGGACAAAGACCGCTAACGCCCACAACAAACAAGATCAAAACAGCAGCATGCAAGATTCTCAGGTGAACGTTTTTAGCCATTGTGATGGTATGTTCTTCCAACTGCTGATTTTTTTTTTTATTTTTTTTTGTCGGAACCCACGAAGTTCAACCCCAAAGCGTTTTTTTTTTCTCGAACCAGTAAAATTCTTCGGGTATCAAATGTTTAGAAAATGATACTTATATCACTAGACTGCCTTCGGTCAACGCTGAAGACGTTGGATCTGAACAGACGTTCATGTACAACACAATACTGATTATTGTGTTCTATGCATAGGCGTCGTGAGTGGTACTACTGTAACTCAAATGAATTGTGTTGTACAAGCTATTGCGCTGTCATGCATTAACCAGAACCGCACACAAGTCAATTATTACTCTATATGAACTTTAATTAGCAATAATTCAGACCGTCCATCACCATCACTCATAAAAGCAATTTTCTGGAGTTTTTTTTGTAGGTGTTTGTGTAGACTTTAATTGGCAATGAATATAAGACCGTTAGCCGCTCAAGAGCAATTTCTGATCAATTGAACAGCACTTCAAGTACAGGCTAATTAGCAATGAAAAACAGACCTTCTGCCGCCATCAGTTTTAAAAGCAATTCTGTTAGATTAAACAGCCTTTCAAGGGTACGTAAATTAGCTTTCATAAATACCTGGGAGGGTTAACCCATTCACGTTGGTGGGGAACCCGTTGCGTGAGTGGTGAAACCTTTGGTAAAACACCACTGCGTTCTGCGCTGCATCGTGCATTACGCGTTGAAAGCGCGCCCATTTCCATAAAAGGAATATTTTAGCACTACGCGTGCGAGGCACATACTATAGATATGGCCAGAGGAGTGCTGTACAAAACCTGAAGTAAAATTGTCAACAAAATCGTTGGGAATTTGTGAATTGTTTCGTTTTGACTGTTTGAGCGGAAGGTGTTGATGAATGGGAATATGTGCCAGGCCGGTATTGCAAGCACCCGGTACGTTTAAAGCTTAGCTTCGCCGATAATCATTGTCCAGGCACTTATAGCCGTTTGTTTAGCGTACTTGTATAAAACCTACTTAGCACTAATGTAATCCTTAGATGAATTTTAGACCGTCTGTCACCATCATTCAAAACAGCAGTTTATTTGCAAAATGTAGACAAGTCGTCGCAGAGCTGACGAATAAGCAAAAACCCTGTTCCGAGTAATTCGCGTTTGAAGTTGGACATTTTTCTGGGCGTCGTATTTTACCATTAATGTTTTGCTAAACCCTTTTAGTGTATATTTGAAATAGAATAGGAAACGTAGTATCCATTTGGTCACTTCTTTAATCAGAAAAATGTGCGATATGATTTTATTTGATCGTAAATGTATTCGTCAGTTTGTCGAATTAACAAAATCTGCAATAGCCGATTGATCTTCACACTGTCCGTATGCTATTCGTCAGCTTGTGGGATTGCGCGCGCAATCCGACAAACTGAGGAATAACATTCGTTGGTACTTTGTACGCACACCTTACATAAGCTGGTTACCAGCGAAATTTCGTATTCATCACTATGTCAAATTATGGATTTGTTTTTCTGACTGATTCGCCACAGGGGCTCCGAATCTCAAAATCCAGACAAGAACGAAGAATTTTTGCACAAATACTTAAAGGAGCAACCTTTATAAACCCTAAAAATAACAAAATCTCGAAATCGCCAAAATGGTCGATTCGCCGGTATGTCAGCTCTGCGACGAAGTGTAACACACAGGCTCGTTGATATGTATTTAATTAATCCTTTATGAACGCAGCATTACAGGAAGTGGCAAATACACCAATTTGGAATGCTTGCCATGAAAAAGGTAAATTAACAATAATTAACAATGTAAAGTGTCTCATAAATGACAATGACGAATTGGTATTGAATTTAGAGATTTGTTTGGCGGAATAAATACAAAAATGTGTTCACTATTATTATTTTATTTCTATCCACGTGAATTGATACACTTACGTTATAACATTATAAACCCACATCAAGCAATGAAAAAAAAACAGCAATGGAAAAAAATATGTATATGGAGAAGGTAAGACCGTGGAGGAAAAAAAATCCTATGACACGAAGGTACAGTCTGCCCATTTAAAATGTGAAGTGAGGGCAGATTGACAGTAAAACAAATCTATAAATAATCACGAAAGAGAACACACACTAGACTCAGCTAAGAACTTTTGATTTTTCAAATTCAAAAACTATCAAAAGCTTTTCAGCTATCCAAAGTAGCACACTCGATTTTTGTCATGCACTCTTTAGGTTTTTCATTTAAACTAAACTCGAAAGAAAAAACAACTTGCTATCAATGAACTTTTCGCAGGGTATGCCATTCTCGCAAAGTTACAAAATATTGATAGTCTTATCAATGGATCCATACCTCAAATACCCTGGAAACATCAAATCGTATTCTAGGTAGGTCATTTATCATTGTATGTTTAAGAAGGATCTTAGAACATGAAGACTTAAACAGTAGCGGAACTGAGGTTTTCGTCTAGTACTGACTGGTAGTTAACTTCCTTGCACTGCCATCAATGTCAGACGTTCTATTTTTAGCTCAGAAGTGCCACGGATGAAAACGTGAAAATAGAAAGTCTGACGCTGATGACGGCCGGTGCTGATGCGCTAAGCTCAAGTTTAGGCCACTGTTTTAGGCTTTACATTAAGATTTTTTTTTTCATAATGCAATCAGACATGAAGTACCTAAAAAACGGATTGATGTTTCAGGGGATTTAGAGCTGTCTGTCCATTCATACGATTGTCAATCTGCTGTAACTTTGCGAGAGCCACTCGTTCACCGCACACACTATTTATGTCGCCAAGCCTGTTTCGTTATTCGCCTAGCTGTGAGTTCTATGATTGCGTACTCTAAGAAATGTCTATTGCTACAATATTCTTAAGCCGCGGTGTATTTTTTTCTTCAGACACATGTTCGGAGTCTCTTTTCATTTACTATCTCTGCAATCCAGAGAAAAACAAAGACATTTCATTGTTTGTTTCAGCTTCCAAAACAAATAGTCATAGAAAACAACATATCAATGTCACTATTTGTTCAGAACGCTTTTCCATTCCCGATCAGATGTTTAAGTGTTTCTGAAAGACAGCGAATACAAATTGCACAAACTTATGAACCTTTGGATCTGTACTTTTCAAATTGTAAAAGTTGAACAATGAATGTTGTTTTTCAGCATATCGTTTTTAATTTTATGATATTGTTTATTTTCTTTTAGAAATGCATGCCGAACTACATATGTTCTATTCCTACGACACTATATTGGCAATACTAAAAATTTGATAAACGCAGCAAAAAAAAGAAGAAGAAGAAGAAAAAAAAACTAGAGATGAGTTTGTGGACAAACACAAGCTGTTTCGGATATTCGAAATACTCTGTGCACGTCATGAACAATCAGTGACGTCACTAAAAATGTCATCTATAACAGCGCATTATATGTACATGTCAAGTTATAACCAAATCGAACATGTAGGTCTGTAAATATAGGCCTATAAAGAACAAAATGCCCCTTTAAGGGACGTCACATTACATTTGATAATGACATCACATGAGTTTGTCTATAACCCATCTTGGCATTGGTACGATCACGAATTTCTTCTAGGACCATCTGTGGGTGGTAGTCTAAGTGTGTACCAGGTCTAACGTCGATCGCATAATTTACAAAAGTGCCAAAGTAGAGTGTTTTAAAACGTGTACAAACCCTATGGGGAAAAATGCATCTTTAATGTGATGTAACCAAACACCTGATGACGTCACGATCACGAATTTCTTCTAGGACCATCTGTGGGTGGTGGTCTAAGTATGTATCAAGACTGAGGTCGATCGGATTTACGAAGGTGCCAAAGTGGAGTGTTTTAAAATGTGTACAAAACATATGGGGAAAAACGCATCTTTAATGTGACGTAACCCAACACCTGATGACGCCATGATCACAATGGACCATCTGTGGGTGGTGGTCTAAGTATGTATTAAGTCTGAGGTCGATCGCATTTATGAAGGTGCCAAGGTGGAGTGTTTTAAAACGTGTACAAAACATATAGGGAAAATGTGCATCTTTAATGTGAAGTAACGTGACACCTGATGACGTCACGATCACGAATTTCTTCAAGAACCATCTGTGGGTGATGGTCTAAGTGTGTACCAAGTGTAACGTCGATCGGATTTACGAAAGTGCTGAAATGGAGCGTTTTAATACATGTACAAACCCTTAGGGGAAAAATGCATCTTTAATGTGACGTAACCTGACACTTGATGACGTCACGATCACGAATTTCGTCTAGAACCATCTGTGGGTGGTGGTCTAAGTATGAATTAAGTTTAAAGTCGATCGGATTTACGAAGATGCCAAACTGGAGTGTTTTAAAACGTGTACAAAACATATGGGGAAAAATGCATCTTTAATGTGATGTAACCTGACACCTGATGACGTCACGATCACAAATTTCTTCTAGGACCATCTGTGGGTGGTGTTCTAAGTATGTACCAAGTTTGAAATCAATCGGATTTCAAAAAGTGGCAAAGTGGAGTGGTAGAAGAAACGTGTGTTAAACCTATGGAGAAAAAGTCTGAAAAAGGAGAAGAAAAAAAAAAAAAAAAGAAAAAAAAAAAAAAAGAAAAAAGAAAAAAAAAATCTTAACGAAAACAAGAGCTGTTTCGGTGTGTAACCGAAACAGCTAAAAAAGTACATTGATCAAACGGACGATGCAGAAGCAGCAATTAAGGCACACCTGGAATATGATCATTGGTTTCTATGGTAACATAGAAGCGACATGTTTTGGTTGATTACCCCCTCCAAAAAGGTAATCCACGATGGGAAGAAATGAAGAGTTAACACAAAGACTTCAGAAGTCCAATATACACGTCTCTGGCGTAATTTTTCAAACTACTGGCAATGATTCCCGCTCCCGAGAAATATCGCTGTGTGTTGTCCCTAGTGTACAGACAATCAATTGCATGAAAATTATATGGCGCCCTCATACGTGGCCAACCATCAGTGTGCACAATTTATAAGGAAAGTGGGCAATACGTTTTCACAAAACG